CCACATTAAACTCGGCCTTGTGCCACATTCAATCCTCGTGGGGGGATCGATAAATACTCAGAGAAGTTCTTAGCTGACTTCCGTCTCGATACAGTCTTTGACTGGTTGCGACGTCTGTCGAACTCTCTGCCTTAGCAGCGAGGAACCCGGACGAGGCTTTGCTGAAGTTAAGGTTTCGTCCGGGGAGGTAGACAGGGCCTGAACCCGTCTAGGCGTGTTCAAGGGCTATATTTTTGGCCGAGCCTACGGGCTCGGATCAACCCACATTAAACTCGGCCTTGTGCCACATTCAATCCTCGTGGGGAGATCGATAAATACTCAGAGAAGTTAGCTGAGCTAGTTATTGACTACTCAGGCGATTTCTGTACCTTTTTACCAACCTATTAAACCCTTTTTATTGTTACGTGTTATTTGGCGTTTGTCTCTACTACCCACAAATCAACATCATAACACACACACACACACACACACACACACATATATATATATATATATATATATATATATATATATATATATATATTAGTAAGAGATATCTTATTTATTAATCTGACAGATTTTATCACACGTTATTTTTAGCGGATACCCATAGTTGAGTAGACGACCAATTTATTTATTATATTATTTATAGTATATTTATTTATTTTCGTCTACTGGCCTAAATATTCTAGAAATCTTATTAAAGAAAAGATACGTCCTGCCAGAGGGCGTATCTTTTCTCTTGCTGTCCATTGAAATTTATAAAATATTTCTCTTCATCTATTATTCATGTTATTTGGCGCATTTTTGTTTATGATTCTGTAGCGTCAAAGTTCAACGAACGATGGCCTTTGCCAAAAACCTTCTGGCTTCACCCACTCAAAGCTATTTTTCAACTATTGACCTTAGAGAAAGCACTTGTATATAGCTGACAGTTTAGATATTTATGAATGGCTTTGGCGCCATACAGAACACCCATAGGAAAGTTTCAATCTGACGAGGGTATTTAAGACGAGGTTATAGAGTTTTGGGGTTTAATGTTTTGATTTTGTATAAACTGCTGAAATGTTCTCTTTTCATTGTTAGAATCAATAAACAAAAATAGCCTGATATTGAAGATTTTCATGTTGATATGAATATTGTGAAAAACAAAAGCAATGTTTAAAATTAAATTAGTTTTAAAAATAAGTCTCCCGAATGCTATTAAATGGCAAAAAAAAGTTTTGGGCACATTTGATAACCTTTCTGATGTGTAAATTGGCTTTATGGGCGCGTTAGACTAACCAAACCTTCATCATAATGTCTTTGAACAAAGCACTGAATTGTTTTGTTTTTTTTGTATAGAAACCAAATTGTATGTCTGGTCTAAAGGCAATTTAGAAGATGAAAGATTGGAATAAATCGTGAAAGTAGAGAAAGGAAATACATAAAAAGAAAAGGAGAAAATATATAAAGGAAAGAGGAAGAGAGAGAGAGAGAGAGAGAAGAAATACTATAAACACAAAAAGTAAAAAAAGAAAAAAGGATACGGAAATGAATAGACAAAATAAGAAGGAAGACAAAATAAAGAAAGAGAAAGAAGAAGACAAAGGAAGGAGGAAAATACAAGGAAGAAAAAGAAGAAATTATAGGGAAGAAGAAGAAATGAGTAGAAAAGCAAGCAAGAAATGAAGAAGAAAGAAAGAAAGAAAAAAGGTATATCTGCAGATATAGAGTGTAGAGAAAAAGAAGATAAAGAGAAAGCAAGGCGAGGAAGAAGGAGATAAAAGAGAAAGAAAACTAGTGAACTAACAAGAAAAATGAAAAGGGAAGAAGAAAAAAAAATGAGGAAAAGGCCACATCTTATTCAGATGAGAGCCGCCATCTCACCCGACGCATCATTTTTGATGGCTTCCGCCTCGTTACGGCGGCCATTTCCTCTTAGATGACTCTTGAGGCTAGCATTTAATTTCATTGGTATCAGGCATATATGACAGATAAATTCTGTATCCTTGATAGTGTTGACTGGATCCGTATGCCTTACAACTCTCCTGCGTACCACCATGTGTCTCCTCAGCTGATGATCTGCAAGCCTTGTTGCAAATAACACAGGTATTCTTAGTGCAGTTGTCATAGTTGGGTTACTACTGGTTGTTATGATACCCTTCCAAATGGTTTACATAACCTGCCCTCGACATAAGTATGCATTCACACTCAACACACTCCCAAAACTGAATATTACTTGACAACTGAGTGCCTCTTCTCGCTTGATCTGACCAAACCGAAGACACTCATCCTTAAAATATTGCACCTACCCCTAATACATTTCCTCTACTCTGTACGGCATATACATACATACATACATACATACATATTTTTATATATAGGATTAATAAAAATATGAAATGTGTTACTTAACTGATTGATGTTATATTCGCACTCCGACTCCAGAGTTTCGTAGACAGACCTTTTAGTAATCGCCCTGTTCACTCGTATTAGCAATTAACTGCTTATTTTATCATTTTCGTTATTTTTATATGAAGTTAAAATGATTTATGCACTTGTGTAAGATTGCTTTTTTTCTTCATTGTATGTGTGCGTGTGCAGTTGTGTCTGCGTGTATTTATGTATACAGAGATAGAAAGTTAGACAAATTATGTTATGTGTTAACAAACCTCACCACTCGACAAGATCATGGGAACTTATCGGAACATAAAATCATGTTATCAAGTGTGGATACTTTAACGATATCTACTTTTTGCTTTGTTAATGTCGTATACTTGCTTTGCTTTGCCTTACATTACAGTGTGTTGTCTCGCATTATTTGGCCCCGTTTTTTCTTCTTCCTTTTCCTTATTTTTATTAAGATTTTATCAATTCAGCTTAACCCCAACATATATAATTTACACGTGCTAGGTGATAACAGCTTAAAATAATGCTTACAAATTTCATAGTATGGTTGTCCAGACGAATATAAAAATACAACTATATCTATCACCGCCCACAAGCTGCGAATTAACCAGGTTATTACGTAATGTTTCCATACATGCGAGATTTGTACATTGTTTTAAAAAAACAGTTATGAATATTACTACAGATAATGATTATTGATATTTTATTTTACATAATGAATAATTTAATTTCTGTCTGAATTTCTGGGTTGAGGAGCTATCATTATTTACACTATTTACATGCGGACTATTCTCCTCATCTTTGTTGTTGTTATCACGATTTTTGGCCGTTGTGCCCTCTGGTGTTCATTAGGTGTAAATCGATCCAGATAACTTACAGGGAACTTAGAACTGAACTCTTTATTTAATCGAAGAAGGTAAACTGTCACGTAGGACAATTCTGTGTAGAGAACTTCAAGCCTTACACCTAACTGAGTACACACCAGCAGTAAGGTTAGCTTTAATACTCCAAGTTCTTCACTGAGAATTGTCTCACGTAACAACAGCTTAATGTTTTAAAGGTTTGGTTTGTGAATTTGGTGACATAATACTTGTGAGTTCAATCCCTGGGTCCAGCAGTGTTTTACTTGGACAGGGTAAGTGGGAACAGCATAAGAAATAATTAGGCAATACTAAAACTAAGAACTAGCCAAGATATCCCGAGTCAGTGTGTGATTATTTCAGCTTTCATAATACATTATCAAAGAGTTTTTGTTTTGGGTGATGCCAGTTTCATCATTCCCTCACTTGTCATGCCAATTATATATATATATATATATGTGTGTGTGTATTCGGTTCGGTTCGGCATCCGTCCGCCACGGGAGACGATGGAGTAGCGCTTAATTTTTTTTTTTAAATTCTAGGCGATAGAGTTACATCGCTTCTGGTGATTGTGTAGTCCCACTCTGAAGCGACAGTCTCTCAAGCACTTGGCACAGATGAAACTGGATGACACGGAGGCGGAGGCTGTCTTTGCTTTTCTCCTGGCTCTTTTTGCTGCCTTCTGATCTTCCCTCGCGGCTTCTGCAGTCGTGACGCCGCCACTGACTGTAGCTCTCCAAAGCTGACGATCGTCAGCCGCGGCATACGTGCCCCAGCCATCTGAGACGTCTTTGGCAGAGCAGCGTGAACAGGCTGGGAATGCTGTCACGTTAGAGGACCTCTGTGTTAGTGACCCAGTCTTGTTACTTAATGTGCTGAAGGCGTCTGAGCAACGGAGGTGAAAGGTGTTTAACCTCTTCTCCTAACTGGCGTAAGTCATCCAGGACTCGCTGCCGTACAGAAGGGTGCTGAGGACGCAGGTCCGATAGACTTGTAGTTTGGTGTTCTCCGTCAGCTGATTGTTGTTCCAGACGCGATTGTTTAGCTTGGCCATGACTGCGGCGGCTTTCGCTATCCTGAAGCTGATCTCGGTGTCCAGGGAGAGGGAGCTGCAGATGATCGACCCGAGGTAGGTAAAGGAATCCACCACCTCGATGTGCGTGCCGTTGATAGCAACGTCCAGAGAGGAGGCGGTGTTTTGTGCCAGGATGTTGCTCTTTTTGAGGCTGATGGTCAAGCCGAACTCCTTGCTGGCATGAGCCAGGCGGCTGACTAACTCTTGCAGACCGTCCTCCGTGTGGGACGTCAGCGCAGCGTCGTCGGCAAGCAGCATCTCAAGAATGAGGACCTCACGGACCTTGGTCCTAGCGCGCAGTCGGGCGATGTTGTAGAGTTTGCCTTCTGTTCTAGTGCGGATGTAGATGCTCTCCGTGCAGTCGCAGAAGGCTACTGGAGAAGCATGGAGATGAAGATCCCAAAGAGTGGACGCAACCCCGCTTTACGCCGCTGCTCACAGGGAAGGCGTTGGATGTCCCGCCATTGTAGCAGACTGCGCTGTGCACGTCCTCGTGGAAGGACTTGACCATCTGGAGCAGTCTTGGAGGACATCCTACCTTCTTCTCCCGGAGGCTGAAGAATCCGCTTCTGCTGGCCAAGTCGAAGGCTATCGTCAGGTCAATAAAGGCGATATACAGTGGTTTCTGCTGCTAATGGCACTTCTCCTGCAGCTGGCGCAGCGAGAAGATCATGTCCACTGTAGATCGGCCCGCCCTAAAACCTCAGGATACACACGAGGTTCTGTAGGCGTGGCAAGACGACGTGAGCAAAGACTTTCCCGACGAAGCTGAGGCGGGAAATGCCGCGGTAGTTATTGCAGTCGCTGCGGTCACCTTTATTCTTATAGAGGGTGACAATGTTGGCATCTCGCATATCCCGGGGGACGTGGTCCTTCTCCCAGCACAGGCACAGGAGCTCGTGGAGATGCCGCAGCAGAACTGGCTTGCCACTCTTCAGAACCTCCGATGGCGGGGAATCCGACTCCTTCATGACTGGGAGACTGGGTAAAGCATCCAGAGCGGCATCCCTCACCACGTTCCGGGTTGTATACAGCTCCAAGTAGTACTTCACCCAGTACTCCAGCTGCTTGCCCTGGTCTGTAATGACTTCTCCTACCTTGGACCTCAGCGGAGCAGTGTTGATGGGAGTGGAGCCGGTGGCGGTTTTGATGCTGGTGTACATGCCTCTTGCGTTTCCACTGTCGGCAGCCGTCTGGATCCTACTGCACAGGTTCACCCAGTAGTCATTGGCGCAGCGGCGTGCAGTCTGTTGGGCCTTGCTGCGAGCAGCTTTGAGGTCTCTTGTCTTCAGAGGCTGGCTGCTTCTCATCCCAGTGAACTTCGTACCAGGCCGCATTTCGACGATCCTTCTTCCCAAACGCAGGAAGAGCTGAGGTGTATATGGAATCACGGAGGTGGTGCCATCTACTGTCGATGTCAGTGGCACTGAAGGACGTTGTGTCGACCTTCGCGCTAAATGTGGTTTGGAATCGGCGAGAGCTCTCAGAGTCATTGGAGTGACAGGTGTTGTTGCGAGGGAGGCCGTTGGTTTTGCACCGGTGTATTTTCTTGCTTGTCAGTCTCACTTTGAAGCCTACTAGGTAGTGGTCCGTATCGCAGTCTGCGCTGTGGAAGGTCCGAGTGTGAAGAACGCTCCTTAGGTCTGTACGCCTGGTGATAACAAGATCGAGCTGGTGACAATGTCGAGAACGGGGGTGTCTCCAAGAGACTTTGTGGTGTTCTTTGCACTTGAGGTAGTGCATTAAGAAGAGTAAGATCTACAGTATTATCCTAACAGTTGGCAGGTAACGATATATATATAGAGAGAGAGAAAGAAAAATAAAAGAAAAAAAAAAGGAAATGGGAAAATATTTATATTAAAAGAGGAAGAAATAAAAATAAAATATAAGGTTTAAAAAAATAGAGGGGAGAGAAAGAGAGAGAGAGAGGAAATAGAGGGTGGGGAGAGAAGGATGGGGTTAGAGAGGGAGGGAAAAGGAAGGAAGGAAGGATTAAACATGAGTCGATAAGGTGACGTAGAAATGATTTTTTTCCGGACTGAACTAATTCGATAAATACAGGGGACAGACAGATAAATAATAGATAAAGTCAAGTGTCTCATATTCATGTAATTTCAACAGTTTCATCGCATTATAACCATTCTAATTTCAAAGTAATAATAATAATAATAATAATGATATTTGACATCTATAAAATGAAGTAAGTTAAATAAATAAAAATAAAAATATATAAAATTGTTAAAATATTTTAAAAAATTAAGAGATAAGTAAAAACAAAGTTAAAAAACTAAAAATAATATATATACATATACACACATATGCACACACACACACACACACACATATATATACACATACATACACATACATATATTTGAAGAAAAATATACAGAAAAATATATTTGCTTACATACATATATTTATAGATAAGGACAAAATAAAAAATAAGGATAATATGAAAAATTAATATAAATTAATATGTGTGTGTGTGTACGTGGATTATATATGAACAAATATATAAAGTCGATTACCAGAGATTAGCAGTTGATCTCTTCTTTAACCTACCTGTAACAGCTCAGTACGGGGAAATTGGCTGATCACATTCAATGCCTCCAAAATCAAACTAGTGACCTTCCACCACCACCGATCGGACGCAGAACTTTCACCAATCGTAATGAATTGATGTTTCCTCAGAGAGGCTCCGCGCCTTGAGCGCCTATTGGACCTTAAACTTGGCTCAGTGGAACTCGTACATACATAAAGATGGTGAGAAAATAGTTGGTTCCCAGTACCGCTCCGACAAGTACCTCACTCCTGCTGTTATCCTCTCTCCCTTACAAGCGCCAGATAAGGCCGAAAATGGAGTACTGCTGTCATATTTCGTCAGGAGCTGCTTAGTCGTCACTTTCCACTTCAGAGATAGAGCATATGTAAATATAAAAAGTGCACACTGATGTCTACACTAATCGACGAAAATCTGTTTCATGCTTGAACAAAATCTTCAGGCCATGTGTATCGTGTTTTGTTTCGACTATTTATATATACTGGTCAGTAGTGCATTAAGAAGAGTAAGGTCTATAGTATTATCCTAACAGTTGGCAGGTAACGATTATATTTCAAATTATTCTAGAAGCTCTCGTGTAGGAATAATTGTGGATCCGAATGCGGTCATTCGTAGATATTTTGTAGTTCGTTTATTTTTTACTCATTTGCCAAAGCACAACAAATATGGCCTGAAAATTGCGTTCAAACATGAAACAGACAGTTGCCGCTTCATGTTGACTCCACTGTCCATTTTTATATTTACAATATATATATATATATATATATATATATATATATGTGTGTGTGTGTGTGTGTGTGTGTGTGTGTGTGTTAAAGCAATTCACCCCAAGCAAGGCGGGAGTGCCACTTGTACGTAAGGGGTTACAGAGGATTGAGAACAAGAGTAAAGAGGCGCGTTTGAGGAAAGGATACAGAAATGGACGGGGAACAAGCTCAGGGTGTCAGATGTCGATTGACATTACACTTGAATATTTGAAGATTATAGTCATCGGGAAGCAAGTAAGGGGAAGGGAGTTCCACAGATGGGAAGTGCAGAAGAAGAAGCAGTTTGAGAAGAAGAGATGGTTACATTTAACTGTTTTGACAGTGAAAGTGGGACAGACAAGCCAGCCTGGTAGCTCGCTTAAATTCCTGCAGTCCGGGAACCAGCAAAAGTAGCTCGTCGGAACAGTTGTCGTGAAAGTACTTGTAGACGAGACAGTGAAAAGTTACGGCACGTCTATGGGGAAACGATTGTAGACCAGATGCCAGATCAGGACCTATCACATTGCATATTCGTCTATGGATTTTGTCGAGGACCTCGAGACGTACAGCGGGAGCACCGACCATATATGACAGCAATATTCCATGCAAGGACGGATGATTGATTTGTAGATATGGAGGATAGACTCGGAGAACCAACTCTTCTTGCTGTAGATGTAGCTATTGATTCAATGTATTTATTCCACCTCATGTCAGGGGACAGCGTGAGACCAAGTAGGCGTAACGAGGCGCTCACTGGGTGTTGGGAATCAGTCATTCTGATGGGAGGCAGGGAGGGTTCTCTGTGGTGGGTAAAGGAGAGCAGTTTATAATTTACAAGCCATTTCCTGCACCAGTCAACTACAGATTGGAAGTCCTTTTCGAGATCAGCAGCCAGGTTAGCTTTGTCAACGATACCAGAGACAGGAGTAAATAGTGTTGCCTACTTGGGAACTGAAATATATATATATATTGTTGGAATTTTTGGGTAGCTAGTACTAGTGAGCCATCCAAAATGAGCTGTCTCATTTTATAGTTCACCAATAGAAGAGTTAACCAATCAGAAGGCTCAAAATATTCAATGCGACGTGTATAAAGGCAGCCATGTTTTCTTCTCGAATATTCACTGTGAGCCTGCCTTTGATATCGAAGACTGAAGAATTACGGAACAGCTGCTGGTGGTATTGGCGATATAGGCGGATTCAGTAGAGTGTCTGACTCGTGAGTGTTAATCTTTAACGTTGTTTCATTGAACAGATTACGTACTGCGCTGTATTCTATATTCATAGACTATGATGAACATGTATACACACACACACACACACACACACATATATATATATATATATATATATATATATATATATATATATATATATATGTTCTTATATACCGTACCTATGAACACTAATGGGTATATCCCAATCCTCATAAATACATTGTACACTATTGTAAGTGGGGATAATATACTATCTAAGTAGTCAGTCACTAGCAGTGGTTTACCTGCTTCACGCCGCTGGCGAGTATTGTATTTTGTTGATGTTATAATGATTACCATTACATTTCCAATTTCCGTTTTGGCTATTCCTGATTCAGTAACATTTTATAGATTACGACATATTATATATTTATAATATCATATATTTATTGGATAAAGTGCTCAATATCAGAGATAGAGCGTGTCTAAATACAGAAGTGAACATAGAAGTCAACATTTGGAGGCGACAGTTTGTTTCATGTTAGACGCAATCCTCAGGCCACGAGTGCCTGACGATTGCATCTAGCATGAAACAGATTGTCGCATCTAAGTGTTGACTTCTATGTTCCTTTATATATATATATATATATATATATATATATACAGTGTAACCCGGATATAAGAGACCCGGATATAAGAGAGATTTTCTCTGGTCCCAAACTAGAGCCTGTGTTAATGTATGTAAAATAGACCAAACCCAGATATAAGAGAAACCCGGATATAAGAGACTTCTTCTCCGGTCCCGACAACTCTCTTATATCCGGGTTACACTATATATATATGTATGTATGTATTTAATGATTTCACCTCAAGAAAGACAATAAAGCCGCTAAGACAAACGGCTTACTGGATGAGAAAGAACAAGAAAAAGAAAAAAACAGTATTCGGGAGCGCGGATAATAAAAAAAAGAAGAACCAAGAATACAGTAGATAACAATTGAAATTGCATTTCAATTTTTAAAGATCAAAGTTAGCTGGAAAGCATGGAGTCGGAAGCGAGTGCTACAACCTAGGAATGCGAGAAAAGAAGAGCAATTGTGGCCTGACGATTGCATTTAGCATGAAACAGACTGTCGCCTCTAAGTGTTGACTTCTATGTTCACTTTTATAATTACACACGCTCTATCTCTGATATTGAGCACTTTATCCCATAAATATAGTACATCTTAAGACTATATTTCTTCATATGTGTGTGTGTGTGTGTGTGTGTGTGTAAGCATATGTATATGTTGCAGTCGATTCCTTTTTTGTATTAAATTCATTTTTTACCAATTTATTATTTTTGCTCGTGAATAAATCGACTCCACCACTATCTTAGCAATTGGTCATAATATTGATATTTTACAACGGCTAGTTTTGAAATTGTGCCTAACGATTGCCACGTGCATAAAATTCAGAATTGCCAGAAACCGCTGAGGAGCAATTTATTTATTATTAGTATGAATTTTACGTTATTTTACATTCAGAACTGTTTTATTATTACCAGCACGCTATGATATATATATATATATATGTGTGTGTGTGTGTGTGTGTGTATGTATCTATGTATGTATTGAGAGAGAATGCTTATTTATATTAGTATATATGTTAGCAACCTGCTTATTCTTATACTTTGTGCTTACGTACGAAGTCGTGCAGTTCTCAAATTACACGCGGGTAATAATAGGTGTACTTAGATTACACTGGTTGATTAGACATTTTTAATTTTAGAGTTGGGTCAAATTAGTCAGCGCGATTGTTATCAAAATCTATCTACGAAATTCGTGTCAGTGGGCGAAAATTTAATCACTTCCGGTTCACCGAGCAGTTTAGTCCACCATTTTGTATTTAATTCTCTCAGTTTTCGATTTTCCCGCTTGTTTAGTTCTTTCATTATAATTCTTCTATTTTTGTTTCTAGTTTTTATTTATTTTTTTTTTTTTTTCATTT